ATATATATATATATACAAGAACTGGCAAACTAATCCATGGTAATAGAAATCAGATCAGTGGTTTCTTTGAGCTTGGAGCTGGTGCAACTGACTGAAATTTGACTTGGTAAGACAATGGAAATTTCTGTAAGTAGACTTTTCAAATCACACTGAACTTTACACCTAAAATGGGTAAATGTTATTCTGTGCAAATTATACCAAAATAACAGTAATTAAAAATAAACAAAGGCAAGCAAGTCAAAGGATATTTTCTATAACACAAGAGGCAAGGTTTAAATACGGATTACATACCAACTTATTCATGCACACTAACTCAAGAAAACACATGAATAAGGTATCCATCACAGGGATGACCCTAATTTAGAAGATAGAATTAGCCATAGTGAAACCAGTTGTTTGATTGACTGAGTATATAGATATTAATAAGTAGGATCGATCTGCTACTAGCATGAAGCACAATAACATATAATCTTTACTTGTGTTGATAGTGCTTTCACATTCAAACATTTATCACAGAATGCAGCTCATAGGCAATTAAATTTCATGCACAGAATTTTGGATGAGTCATTCTTTCAAGAATGTAAGCTAATACGCTAAATTTTCTCTAGTCAAAACCCTTCCAAATATGTGCCATAAGTGTAGACACTTTTTTTTACATCAATAAGTAATTTTGTTATATTGAGTAATAGAGATATTTTAGTTTGTTTAAATGTAACAATGCACTTCAAATTTTTAGTCTAAAGAAGTTTCAATTATTACATCTATTAATTACCCACCCAAATTATTTCCCCTTATACCTATTTAATTAGTTATCTTAACATAAATTTGATCAGTCAAGCAGAATGAAACTTCACTCTTCCTATCGAGATGTGTAGACCTCCCGAGTTCAGAGTCATGTAAGTGCAAGCTTGGGGTTGGAAACCACTACAAACACCTCCTTGCATTCTTTATTTTCTTGGACTGATACATATGTATTAAGGACTAATACAGACATATTTGAGACATAATAATGTTGAAACTACTCATTATTGCAAGAATTATCCCTGAGCAGCTACTGCCATACCTACTCACTCTCATTTCTCTCTCTCTTCTACAGGAAATCACAGGAGTCCAGTCCTTGTAAATCTGCTTCCTAAAGGAAATTTGTCAGTTCAATACAATTTTTAAAATCATTTTGTATTTCAATAAAAAGAGAAAAAATAATGGGGTACCTATTGTGTTCCTTATTGTGAAAATCAGTTTCCCATTAGAAGCAAGATAGAGTAGTCTGGAGAGTAGAGAGGAGGAGTTGCTGAATGAATTGAATTGAATAAACTGTATTTCCACTAATACCACTATAGTGTTTCATATGGTCCAAAGTTAGTGTTTCTGGAGTTCTTTTAAGACATATTAGCATAGAAATCATTCCTTTCCTTCCCCAAACTTTAAACTTCCATTGGTTGCTTTCTCATTATTTTAATCTCATGGTGTCTTGGAGAGAAATCATGGCAAGAATCTTCTACTGGGAATCCTAATCTAGCAACCACACCACATTCCCAACACTGATAACCTAGAACGGCTCCAGTTTTTAAGAATAAATTGAAGATTATCATAATCCAGATCAGACGATGGAATAAAAAGTTTAGTCTGAGTCCTATCTTACCTGCTCCTGTTCTCCACATTTCCTATCACAGTGCAAGGATGGGGAGCAAGCAACACATCGCACAGAGCTCAGGACTGAGTTAGGCGGCCTTATGCTGGGCAAGTCTCTGTACCACTGATACTTAATATCTTCTTCATAAAACAGAGGTATATTTTGTGTTAACATAGAGAGATATTTTAAAAAGAGAATAAAATAAGGATATGAAGAACTGAGAAGTACTTTATGAAGAAATGTAAGGTATGAGGATATCTTCAAAATTGTTGCTAATATAACTATCACTTTCATTTATGACTGGTCAACAACTTTATACAAAATATACTAAATTTCCAAAACAAATCTAGATAATGAAAATAACAAAGATGAGATAATTGTACAGATAAGAAACTGAGGTTTAAGTTAACTGACTCATTCACCATTATACAACGAAAAAGTATACTTGAATCAAGGATTATTTGACTCCAAAGATGAGAATAGCAACAAATTTCTGGAAAAGGAAAAAAACCTTATATTTGATTACTGTTCTCATTAAGATAAATTCATTAGATCTATTCTAATATAAGAATATATAGAGGAATTATAGATGAAAGATTGGATCTCTTAAGAGTTATAAATGACACAAGTGGAGTTTGCCACTAGGGACCTTCTACCTCCTATGTTACAGCTACTCTCTACACTCACACCATTACCATCAACACAAATCTAAATTGTCAGTGGCAAACAAAATTCCAGAAATCGAACATGGGTCTGATTTAAATTTTCAATTCCTTACTTGCCATTTAAAACATTACTTATCAGTCAATCATTCATTTATTTTATAACCATTATATCTTAATCAAAATTATATTCTGAATCCAAGACTCTATCTAGATAGAGTGGTGAATCGATCCAATTTTAGTTATTATAGGAGCCTCATCCTCTTCTTGGAGTCTTACCAGATTTATGTATTCTTGAGTGGTCTTTAGTAAAATGAGAAAAAAAAATCCTATCTTTTCCATTCAAATGATATTTTCATTTATAAAGCCAGCAATGGACTCGCATATCTAATAGCTCTCTCCTGGGCTTCCAGAATACTTAGGATAAAGGATGAGTTTGGGAATCTTGGTATCTAGAGTTTTGCTTCTTAGAGGTATGATTTGGCTGTTGATTGTGGTCAGGACACTACCTCAGGGAGGTACCACAAAGTAGCATGCTATTCTGGCTGACTGGGAAACTCAAACACCTCTACCTCTTCTCCCAGTCCATGAGAAGAAAACTCCCTTATTTTGAGGACAGTTTTCTCTGTTTTCCATGGCAACATTCCCATTCTTTTTGTGCCTTGTCTTTCTCTTTCTCCAGATCCCGGTGTCTTTCTGGTCATTTCTAATTTCTGCCTTGCCAAAATTATTCCCTATGGCAATAGGAAATAGGGTCTACTACAAGCTTGATTGGAGAAATGGGAAGAGAAAGTAAAAAATATTTTAAGAAAACCATAAATTAAAATATACAAAATTTTGTACTACACATTGCAAAGACTAAGTGTTCTATTCCCAAGAAAATAAATGCAATGCTTTACCAAGAACACAGAAGACAAATATGTGGCCTGCAGATCAGATGTGAACCACAGGTAAGCTTTCTTTAATCTGCACAGTGTTATAAAACAATAGTAAATCAGCAGAATAAAAAATTTTAATGAGAGGTATAGTACAAACAAATGTAAATTAGAGTAAACTGCATCTTTGTTCTCTTGGGTAAAATCAGTTGGGTCTGAGGAGCCCTAGTCCTTCAAAGAAGACTAGCTTCATTAGGTGGGCAGACCTTTCTCCACTCCAACCTGCCTCACTCATTTGGGACATTTCTTGGCTCGTGGTCACTTAAACAGTGGCAACTAGCCCAGATTCTAATATACTCAAATTATGTCAAACATATAAGTTATTAGCAAAAAATGTGATACCTCAAATCTTCTGAGAACTTTTCTCTTTTAATCACTGAAACATTGATAAGTATTGAGGACTAATATCTGCATTTTATGTCTAGATTTTACTCGAGTTTGAGACAAATGTGTTGGTTAACCAGTTAGCCACGTGGAGTTTACTTCTGAGATATATAAATATGTGTTAAAAGAACAGTAAATTTCTCATTGCAGTCTTCTATGAACCCTCAACCTACAATTCAATGCCCCCAAAGATTTTGTCACCCATTTTTATTTTCTTCTTTTTGCATGTATTACTCTTGAAACAAAGTATTTTGTATGCATTTAATGAGTATTTGTGTCTCTTTCATTATAAAATAAATTCTATTAGGGCAGGGATTTTTGTCTGTTTTGGTCATTATTATATCCTCAGCATCTATAATGGTGTCTGGTATGTAGAATTGGTCCTTAGTAAATATTTATGTTGAATATTTGTGTTGAATTAATTATTAAGATGAAGAGGATTTGTTGTACGGAAACACACAATGATATTTATTGAGTGCTTTCTCTATGCCAGATACTATTTTAATAACTTGGTAAATATTCATTAAAGAGATAGAATAACACTACAATGCAAGATAACCATGAAACCCATTTGGCAGGTGGGGAAACAAAGGCATAGTTAAATTCCTTGCCTAAGATCAGCAATTAAAATGTTAGTTCGACCATTCTTGATTCAGAATCTGCATTCTCTGTCTCAACCATGCAGCATTCCTTAAAAGAAAGTCATCTGAAGAAGAAGAGCTTTAGATTAAAACAAAACAAAACAAAACAAAACAAAACAAAACAAAACAAAACAAAACAAAACAAAAGTTTCATTCTAAAAGAAAAACTGCTTCACAGGGACACAAACCATTCCTGTAGCTGGAGATGGCCCAGATTGGGTAAAGCGTAATGGAAAAGAGTCAAGATGTTTCAGTCCACCTTACACACATTAGGATGGGTACCATCGAAATGAACAACAACAACAAAAAAAACACAGAAAATAACAGTCATTGATGGAATGTGAAGAAATTGGAACCATTGTGCACTGTTGGTGGGAATGTAAAATCGTGCAGCAGCTATAGAAAACAGTGTAACCAGTTCCTCAAAAAATTAAAAGCAGAATTACCCTATAATCTGGCAATTCCACTTCAGGGTACATACATCCATAAAATTAAAACAGAGTCTTGAAGAGATATTTGTATACCCATGTTCACACAGCATTTTTCACAGTAGCCGAAAGGTAGAACAATCCAAGTGCCCATTAACAAATGAATAAATAAACAAAATGGGTGTGTATGTGTACTTACAGCAATACCATTCAGCCTTAAAAAGGAAAAGAATTGTGACACATTCTACAACATGGACAGACCTTGAAGACATCATATTGAGTGAAATGTTAGTCACAAAGAGACAAATACTGTATGATTTCATTTTATAAACTAGCTAACATAGTCAATTCATAGAGACAGAAAGCAAAATGGTGGATGCAAGGGGCTGGTAGAAGAGGAAATGAGGAGTTATTATCTAATGGGTATAATTTCAGTTTCAGATGAAAAGGGTCTGGAGATGTATGGTGGTGATGTAAATATACATAATACCATTGAACTGGCCACTTAAAAATTGTTAAGATGGTAAATTTTGTGTTATGTGCATTTCACCACAATTGAAAAAAAAAAATCTTAGTATTTGATTTAGGCAGCAAACATCCTATACTGTGGTTTACCTTTCTTTTTAAACCTCAGTAAATTGAAGGTCATTTATTGCATTTATTTATTTACTTACTTACCTATCTACTTATTTTTTTATTTACTTGCTATTAACTTTATTGGGGGTACATTGTTTAATAAAATTATATAGGTTTTTAGTGTATAATGCAACAATAAATTATATGTATATTGCATCATGTGTTCACTACCCAAAGTCAATTCTCCTTCTGTCACTATAGATTTGGCCCCCTTTATCTACCTCCTCCAGCCCTCCTTTTCTTTATTGCACATGTTTAACTCTGTATGTGCTTTCTAATTTCTTTTACACTCCCACTTCTCACTCCCCAAAGAATAGTGAAGCAAATATTTTATGGGAACAATTCCTTCTACAACCGAAGGTTCAATGTCTTGAAAACATCTTGGGAAATAGAAATAATTAAAAGCTTATTAGGAAGTAATAATTATAAACACACATAGGTAGCTGTAATTATTATTTTGCAATCTCTGCACATGCCCTACATAAAAAGACAGAGCCAATTTACTCGCTTTTTCAACTGCACATCAAAGGTGAGTGTGAGGAGCTATGGCTGCTGAGTCTTTTCCAGCCTAAGAGGAGAGATAGTTTGAGAAAGGGCTGTCTTTCTTATTAAGCTTGGTGAAGTTTAAGTGAACAGCCTTGAGGTAGAGGGGGAATGGGAGAAGAAAGGCAAGAGCTCAGCCATCCTATTACAGCATTTTTGGAATAAAAAGTAAAGGCCAGGAAGAATCTGGGACTCTATTGGTATCCTGCTATTATTTTGCTAGTCTTATCTGAATTTCAAGCCATGAATCACCCAAGGATGAGAATGGGAACAGAATGGATATTAGAAGCTGTTTCTCCCAAAGGAAACAGCTTGTCAAACCTCTTCAGAGTTTAAGAAAAATTGGAGTGTGTCATAGCAGAATGACCTTTGCTTTTCAGGAAAAAATCATGAAATCAAGTCTCCAAGTTCACTCGGTGACTATATGAGGATAATATTAGAATCAAAAAGAATTATATGGAGTAGATGTCTCAAGGTTCAAAGGTATTAGATCATTCCTCAAACTACTTAACCTCATGTAAAGAAAAGTTTGGTTGAGAAAGACCAAAATGATAGCTTCCTTGTTGATGAATTGAGAGGAAAATTGGGCTGTGTCCATTACTTAAGAAATCATTGTGCTTCCAACAGACAAAGTCTTGATTCAGAAGAGAAGGCTGTTTATCCATTCGGTGAGTGAAGGTACAATAAATGGCTTGCTGGATGACCTATTAGAGAACAGAGTGATTAGCCAGTAGATGAACAAAGTGACAGATTAAAATGACACAGTCATGGATAAGGCTCGAATCTTGATTGACCTTGTTATTAGGAATGGATGCTAGGCCTGCCAGAAATGTATTATGCATCTCCATGGAAAAGACCTCAAACACGCATGGAAATTGAGGTTGCTCTAAGGTAAGGTCCAATAATTCAACCTAAAGTCCAAGTAGTCTCCGTATCTTGAGCCCAGTATCTGTTATCTTCATTTGTCTAGTCAGTTTAGAATAAGCTTCCTATCATTCAGCCTCAGACCCCATTCTAATACGTGAGGCCTTAGTGCATGTTCTCTTGTTTCTATGCCTGTGTGTTTTTTCTTAGTTCCTTCTGCTGATTATAGCTCATCTCCAGTCCTATGTAGGTAACAGTTCATTTGCTGGAGTTCATTCAAACAGTCTAGATGTCTTCAATCTGAATCCTTTGAGCACATGTACAATTCATTCCTCCTGGAGCCCTAGAAACCCATGTACGTATTGAAAAAACAAGACATAAGCTCTTTTTCTAACTACCTCCCAGCTATTCCCTCATCTTTCTATGAATGTTCTTTCCAGGATATACAGTGATGGTGGAATTGTCAGGGAGCAAACTGAGTAGAAAATTAAGTGTGCATGAATTAATTACATTTGCATCAAATTACACATTCTGGATTCTTTTTTAATAATCAATTCCTTTGCTTCTTATCTTGTGTAACATTGTTCACTTAAATGCGCTAGTCTGTGACGGCTCTCTAAGGGCTATCCTCTCAATCACCAGTCCTCTTAAGGACACAGATCTAGGTTCTAGTATCTGAACTGGTCCTTTCTTATTACCCTTTGCTCCTTCCACAGAGTGAAGATGGCTTTCTGGTAGATTACAAGTATTAGAATACCAGCACTTCCCAAAGCCACTTCAGTGAGGCAAGTCGTTAATTATTGCGGGAGAAAAAGAGACTGCTTCTGTCAAAGCCAATCAATGTCTCCAGTGGTCATCTATTTTTAATAAATCTCTCATTCTGTTACAATGCTTATTTCTTATTCTCCCCCTCCCCATTCCAACCAATGATAATCCATCAATAACATCAAAGGCCATGGATGAATGTAATTTAATCAGATATGTCTCTCCTTCTCCCTTTGCTTTTTCTTCAGTTCCCTTGCAATCCTGTAACAGCCCACTTCGGTGCTTTCAATCCCTATGTTCTGCTATGTTGGGAAACAAATGAGGCTCTCAGTCAGAGTCTTAAATAGTATTGCCTCTTTGTAATGCACTCCTCTTTTTGCTAGTTTTTGAGAGCCAGATCTATAATAATTACCCGAGGTAATAAACAAACATTCCTTGCTGGGAGAACACTAGAGAAAATCCATGGTCAGATATTCCATTGCCAGAAACCAAGCTTCCTCAAAAAATGTTCATGAAAGTCCTGATAGTAAATATAGTCTTTCAAGTCCAAATGCGAAGGGTGGGACAAGATGTGGCTTGCTGCCTAAGGAATGATGGTTTGTGAAGTAACCATAGCATGATGGTACATCATGGCTCTGCAACCTTCAGAACAGGGAAATAGCCATTCATTTTGCCTAGGCTGTGTTTTCCTAGTGTATATAGTAATAAATAACAAAGTATTATCTTTGAGAAGTCTTGAGAGTGTTTATAATTTGCCATTTCATGCTAATTTCTAAAATTTTTAGCATAGGTTGTAGCAAGGGCTTGGGTGCCAGGAACTAAAACCAAAATATTTACTGGATTTTTCAGGTTTGGGCATTTTTGATGAGCTTTTCATAAAGTTAAAATAAAACTTAATGTGGTTCTTTTCCTATTGAATTTGTCAATCATAAGTTGTGAAAAAATCATTGTGGATTGATACCAAATACAGTAAGTAACAGTTTTTAATGCGTTTCTCCATTGAAGAGGTATATGCCACTGACAGAGTTTGTATTTATCTATAAGATACAGGAGATTGGGATCAGGGCTCCATTTCCATATGTAAACAGTTTCTTTGAAAAAACACAGTGTCTTAGAAAAATCACATTTTGAGGATGATCTAGCAGTGTGCTCAGTAATCAGGAGCACAGGTATGAGGTCAAGACAGGTCTGTTATAAGCTCTAGGGTCATTTTGAAAAATCCTTAACCTTTCTCCAGCTCAGTTTCCTCATTTATAAAATGAAATTAACAGCACCATCCACACGGAGAACCTGAGAGAACTCAGTGAACTTGGAAAGGACTAAGCCCAGTGCTTGCCACTGAGTAAATAAATAATAAATTTTGCATGTAAATATAATAATTTTATTACTTTTGTTCCCAGAGACACAGAATCATGATATTGAGTAAAAAATAGAGTGTACAGGTAATAAGAATTATAAACCACATTGTAGATATCACAAATAATTTTTCTTAATTCCATGTACAATATAAACTTATAAATAACCAAATCAAGATGGTAAAAACCTGTTCAGTCATGTAATTTATGAGAAGATTACCATAGCTTGAATATCCCACTTTGGTGAAAACTTTAGAGCCATCTAGGGCCTGTAGGGCTTTGCAATTCCTGTTGGACAGCAACAGCCATTATTTCTTCAAATAAACTCTTTGCCCTTTCTTTCTCTTCTCCTGGGACTCCCATAATGTGCATATTGATACGTTTGATGTTTTCCCATCAGTTTCTTAGGCTTTCTTCATTTTTCTTCATTCTTTTTTCTATTTGCTCCTGTGACTCGATGATTTCAAAAAAACTTAACTTTGAGTTTTCTGATTTTGTCTTGTTTCATCAAAACTAATGTCGAACCCCTCTAGTATTTTTTTTCAATTCAGTTATTATATTCTTCAACTCCAGAATTTCTGTTTCATTCTTTTTTTATAATTCTATGTGTTGGTAGTCAGTGTTATATTTATGCATCATTTTCTTGATTTTATTTTCTTGTTTTGTATCTGTGTTCTCTTTAAGCTCACTGAGCTTTTTTTAAGATAAATATTTTTAATTCTTTGTCGAGTAATCTCAAGATGTTCATTTCTTTAAGGTCAATTTCTGGAGATTTATTTTGTTCCTTGGATTGGGCCATGTTTGTTTCTTTGTATTCCTCATTACCTTTTCCTGGGTTTGGGCAATTTATAAAAACAACTACCTATACCAGTTTTTATTAAGTGGGTTTGAATAAGGGAAGGCCTTCAACAATCAGCACCACTAGATTTTCCAGGAGTCTCTCTAAACTTTTCTGGATATGCATTGTCTCTGGGTTTATGTGTGTAATTTTCCAATGAGAGGAATTTACTGGTTTCTTTTTCAAGAGTTCATAATGTCTTCCTCCCTCTAGTGTCTGTCTGCAGTACTGCAGGTTCTCTGGTGCTGGGTAGCCCTTTCTTCTTCTCCCCTCCCCTCCTCTTCCCTTCTCTGCCCAGCCATAATCTTACATATACATTCCACTCTTTTCTAAACTCTAGAGAGAGAACCTGCAAGTTAGGTGTTTTCTTTCAATCATTACAAGCTGTGGCAGCTTGGGGGAAAGACTATCACAGATGAAATGCAACAGCTTTCCTTAACCATTTCAGTGCATCTATTCTTGGTTTTGCATTTCCCTAGGGTATTATGGCTTCTTAACTGGTTTCTGGAGATATCGTAAAGACTTTATGGTATCATAATAGATGTTGTTGACGACTTACATAAATGAGTATAGTAGAAGATGCAATTCATGGTAAGTTGGGTCCTAATGGACCACAATATGGTGATGAGCACATTTAATGCTGATTTTTTCTCTTATATTCTCTTGATAGTAGTTCAAAAAAAAAAAAACAAAAAAACAAAAACAAACAAAAAAAAAACAAAACAAAAAACAAAAAAAAACCTAAAGCAAGGATATTTTCTGTAATGAAAAGGGCAATATTTGCAAATAGTTATTTATTCATACATACTCATGTGATAAAATCAAACAACACTTTATCAGATGCAGGGCAGAGAATTTACTGCTCAGCCTCTTATGTCTAGAAGAATCCTTGTTACTGTTTGGCGAATGAATGAATAGCAACATTCAGTACTTGGACCGAGAGAGAGAGAGAGAGAGAGAGAGAGAGAGAGAGAGAGAGAGAAAGTAATAGAAACAGTAGAAAGACAATAGTGGGAAAAAAGAATACTATGATCAATTAAGATAATAGGAGAGTGATTACATCATAATTTTCTTGGTTCTTTTCAGTGGCCAGGCAGCAATAAAAACAATCTGCTCCGTGAAAAAGCATGTGTGAATGAAGAAATCACTAGAATATCTGATATTATTTCTTTATGGGGCCCAGATGATTCTATTAGTAAAGCCCAAGGTGAAAATTGTTATTGTTGTTGTTCTCTTTCCTTTAATCTCAGTGAAGTAGTTTTCTAGACAGGTTTTATGAATTGATATCACCAATATCAAGACTTCAGTAAATTCCAAAATAAAAGGAGCAAGGGGCCATGCAATATGCAGACCTCTAAGAAGTTTAAATAGCTGAAATGAGTGTCATAGTTTCTACAGTGATTTTTGCATATTATTTTATGTATTTCTCTCTGTGTTATTTTAGATTCTGATTATTCATAGAAAATAAGCCTATATATCCCTGTCATAGGCAGTTTACCTGTCATTTAATGATCTATTCTAGGAGTAATAGAAGAATCACAGAGAAATATGTAGAGATCCCTCAGACAAAAACAAAACTCAAAAAAACAAAAAGCTTATATTCTGACTATTCAGACAAGACAACTACTTTAGGGATTATTTAGCAGCTTGTTTTGCCTCGTTAGTTAATGAGTATTGTGAAGAACAGTGGGGGAATAAGTCTGATAAGACATATTAGGAACATAGGTTTAGGCTTTAAAAAGTAAGGTAGGAAGGTTGTACTAAAATGCATGTTATTAAAAATAAAGGAATCTAGTATTCTGTTTAGACTTTGGGAATTAAACTAACCTAGATATGTTTTCAGATCTACCTTTGCCTTATCCTTGTTATTATGTGTGTAAATATATGTGTAATTAATCTTAGCTATAGATTTTTATCTGTGAAGAGAGTTAATACTACTTATAGTGTAGTAAGCATTACATGAGGTAATATATATAGGAAATTAATAGCGCTTTCC